GAGCTGACCAGCTGTGGTGATGAAGATTAACAGTGTTCAAAACCCTGAATTCCTAGATCCATGCACCCTATACAGTTACAAAATACGTTCACAATCATTTAGGTCTCAGGCAATTTTCTTTCACTGGAATACTCTTGATGTGGAAGGAATGGAAAAAAACCCATTCTTATGGTCTGTGGTTAATTAATTCTATTGAAAGGTTATAGAAATATTTTTAATTTCTAATCAACATACAAGGGTGGGACCTACTGCTAAGGGGGGAACCAATGGTGAATAAGTCATAGTGTTTGTTCTCTAAAATTATAAAAACATGTAAATATATATACCTATGGAACTTAGAACTAAACTGTAAAAGAAGGATTCTGGTTTTGCATTAACAATTTTATAAAGACTATTACCTGGAAAATTTTTTGCACAGATAAAATAAAAGTGTCCAACACATCAGGGTTTAGAAAATCTTCTTTGGTAGCAATTCGTCCATTCAGATAGTAGCTAAATTATTAAGAAAATATTCAGAAAAAGAAAAGAACAAACTTTACATTTTGCTTGTATGTTAATTGCCAACCTTATCTTCCTTCCTCCTCTCCCACTTCCTTGTTATGAAAGAGGCAGAAATTCTACTAGGGAAAGACCCATACCCAAAGGGAATATGAGAAAGAGTCCTTTCTATCCGAAGAACTAGGAATCAGTTTCTCTGTCTTTAGAAGACACAGTCAAGAGAGTAGGTATCTATTATTACCTGTTCTTTGGCAGGCAATTGGTTTTAGCTACTTATGTTTTCTAGGGGATAATTGGCCAGATACCTTAATCTTTATAGAAACCAGAACATTAGAACAATGTAAAATTTTTGTTTTTTTAATATTAAAATTCTACACTGCTTCTTTTTTTTTTTTTAGACAGTCTCTTTCTGTTGCCCAGGCTAGAGTGTCGTGGTATCAGAGTATCTTACAGCAACCTCAGACTCCTGGGTACAAGAAATCCTCCTGCCTCAGTCTCCTGCATTGCTGACACTACAGTTGCCCACCACAACACCTGGCTAGTTATTCTATTTTTAGTAGAGACAAGGTCTCACTCTTGCTCTGGCTGGTCTCAAACTCCTGTGCTCAAGTGATCCTCCCCCATCAGCTTCCCTGAGTGCTGGGATTATAGGTGTTAGCCACCTCACCTGGGCTCTACGTTGCTTCTTCAGATACTGTTTATTTATAGTTTAGAGTCAATTAACAGTTAAATGGAAATAATTTTTGAAAACTAGGTAATGAATAAAGCTAGCATTACTTTCCCAGTATTGAGAATAGGAGACATACTTACTGATGCCATGTAACTGAATCAATCACGTCTCCCCCAGCCTCCAGGAAACTAGGGGGGAAAATGTCTTATGTTATCACTCAGTTGTCGTATTCACAGGAACTTTACTCCCTAGAAATAGGCTGGTTACTGCTTTAAGATCAGGTAACACACACTTCCTAATTCTGATAGGAGGTTTTATCATAGATGCCATTTGCCTCAGTATCCTTGGTATTATGAACTAATTAACACTTCTCCTTTGGTAAGCTTGTAGTCTGGCAGCAAACTGTGTAGTAATGTGTAACTATTGAGGATGCTTCACCAGAGTGGGATGTTTACTTTTAAGAAGTGGCTCAGCGTCTTCCAGCTCATACCTTTTCAGCATCTTGACAGTCTTTCCCCGAGGCTGACCCACGTCAGGACCATAGAGTTTTGCATTTTTGAAAGTGGACTTTCTTAGAAGGTTATGCAATTCAATAAAGTCTTCCCCTAACTGCAATCCATCAATGAAAATACCAGCCTTCTTCCGGAAACTGTTGGGCTCTGAAAGACAGCAATTCTCAAAATAACACTCACCTAGAAATGTTTTATTTAAAAGCAAACATACAGTAGTATATAAAAACAAAACATTTTCCAAAACAAAAACCTAGAATTCAAAGCCAAGAAAAGTAACCCTCTAGTAATAAAGGAGGCATTCCAGAAAAACACAAATTCAAACTATGTAACTAAGGTACGAGAGGCATAACAATTCAGTTAATAATGGGACGAATTACTAACTAATTATTAGTTTAATAACAATCCAATGGATCTTTGTGAGATACAATGCCATATCTAATAACCTAATTTACCTTAAAGAGAGTTTGGGTGGGAGGAGTACACATGCCTGCCACATTATTACATCTCATTTCCCATATCATCTTCAGTTCCATTGGCTGATATGTGGGAAAGTGCTATAAATATGTTTTGAATAAATGTGGCTAATCATTAATACTTTAGTTAGAATTTGTAAGTTCCTTGCAAAAAAGCAAAGGAGACAATCAGGAGCTTTGTCCAGGTGAGATTCTGTACTAGCAAGTTTCAGACAGCTTGAGCATATGGTGAAAGTTGGAATGAGGTGCGGAGATTAACAAGCTGAGAAACAGAGAGAGGAAGAGAAGAGAGAAACCAAAGTGCCCGCCTCTAAGTTTTGTTGAGTCCAGCTTGACAAGTGTAACAGGGTGAAGTGACTCTGAAAATCCCAGGTGAACCTGGGAGTTGGGAAGATTGCAGGCTGCAACTACTTGTTCTCACCTCAAATGTAACAAAAACTGGGATTTGCAACTCAAAATAGGTTCTGGGATTATATTATAAAGGATATATTATTTCTGACATATGCAGGTCCAAACGTTGCATTGTTGACTACTTACAAAAATGTGCCCAGGCAGGAGTATATTTGCTAATATGATGTGTAAAAAGAAGGTCAGAAATAGGAAAATAGTAATGCCAATGAGGTACTTACCATTCCCTAGTTCCCAAGAAATGTTATAATTCTTAGAAGAGCAGTAGTCCAGGAGAAGTTGAGCGTTGGAACTGTTCCACTGGGAATCTGCTGTTCTTAGTAATGCATTTAGACCAAAGATCAAGTCCAGTCCTGAGCAATTTGCAAAAGTGTATAGCATATCCACTGAGCTTCCTAAGAGAGAAAGGCTGCAACGTTAGGTTAGGTCAGCACTCACAATGAGAAGTCTTCCAAATTTGTTCTTCATGCTCAGTTACTATGTCTTTTGTTAAATGGATTTCTATTCCTAATAAGTGATTATAATTATGTCTAAGGTGCCACCAAGAGTTTGGGAACTTATATGCTCTGCTTTTTAGACTTTAGCCAGTCTATGTTTCCTTTTTGAGAGTGTCAACCATATGGTTTTAAGAGTTGTCTTTAAATCAATTATCATATGCATAAGTTCTTGAAATTTTTCATGTATACTTAATTTGTCAAATGGTAATTCACTCTTGAACTTTCCTAGTTTAAAAAAAAACTTTGTTGAACTTAAATGCTTTCTCTTTAAAAGTGACTTTGTTTTGTTTCTAAATCTCTGGCCTGAATTACTTGAATAACCATAGCATCCAAGTAATTCCTAGATTCTGATAAACAGAAATTACTATAGCAAACTGCTTTAGGTGTGAGTTTTTCTTGAGACAAGTCTTGCTCTGTAGTATGGGCTGGAGTGCAGTAGTATGATCATAGCTCACTGTAGCCTCAAACTCCTGGGCTTCCCGTGCCTCAGCTTCCTGAGTACCTGGGAACCACAGGTGAGTACCACCATGCCTGGATACTTTCCCTTACTTTTTTGTAGAGATGAGGTTTCATTATATTGCCTAGGTTGGTCTTGAACTTCTGGCCTCAAGTCATTCTGTCACCTTGGCCTCCCCAAATGCTGGGATTACAGGTGCAAGCCACTGTGCCTGGCCTGCTTTAGGTGTTTGGATATTTGCTGTGTTACCCAGTTCTGTAACTGCTGCCTACCCTCAAGAAGTGACAGACTGTTGGGTTTGAAAAGCTGTCAGAGTCCTGTGACCCAGAATTCTACTGGATCATAGAGTCACAGTTTGGGACAAAATGGATCCTTTGGGGTAACCTGCCCCAAACCTCTACCCTAATTTTTTTCTATATGGAAACTGATATCCAAAAAAGTGCTTTGACCAAAATCACATAGCTATTTGGTGGCAGTGGCATGACCAGAGCCTGCTACAAAGGGGTGACTCAACTGCCCAAGTCACAGCTATTTTGCAGGTTCATGTATTGCAAATCATGTTGTAGAAGCTGCCTGAAATCAAGAATTAGAGACTTGGGCTCCAGGTGTAGCTCTCCCACTTACAGACTGAAATATAATCAGGGGTGATATCTTACAGACTGAGACATAAACAGGAGCCTCAGCTATGGCTCACCAGGCCTGGAACAAGCACCAGGCGTCATGTGTGTACCCCACAAAACTGAGGTTAAAATGACACGTGAAAACTGTAAATCACAAAAATCCCTGTGGATGTCTACATTGTTGTAGCCTACCCCCTTTACAAAGATCACAGCATCTTAAAAAATCCAGAATGTTTGCATTTTAAAGTATTTATCCAACTCATATTTTCCCTTTCTCGCTTTCTTTCTTTTTTTATTTTTCTGAGACAAGGTCTCACTCTGTCACCCAGGCTAGAGTGTGGCATCATCGTAGCTCACAGCAACCTCAAACTCCTGGGCTCCAGCAGACTTCCTGCCTACGCCTCCTGAGTATCTGGGACTACAGGTGCCCATTACCACACCAGGCTAATTTTCCCTTTTTGTTTTCCTTGAGACAGAGTCTTACTTTGTCGCCCTCAGTAGCATCATAGCTCACAGCAACCTCAAACTCCTGGCTCAAGTGATCTTCTTGCCTCAATCTCCCAAGTAGCTGGGAAGACAGGCGCCTGCCACAACACCTTGCTATTTTTAGAGACGGGGTCTCGCTCTGGCTTAGGCTGGTCTCAAACCTGTGAGCTCAGACAATCCACCTACCTTGGCCTCCCAGAGTGCTAGGATTACAGGTGTGAGTCACTGTGCTCAACCTTTAATTTTTCTATTTTTTGTAGAGATGAGGTCTTCACCTTGCTCAGCAGGCTTGTCTTAAACTCCTGGCCTCAAGCAATCCCCTATTTTGGCCTCCTAAAGCACTAGGATTATAAGTGTGAGCCCTGTGATCTCTTCAATTTTTTCATTTTTCCAGATGCACTTGGAATTTATGTAGCTTGAAATTTACTATACACCTCTTATAACATCATACACAGTAACGTTTCCTACAATAAAGGTCATATATGACTGAGTTCAAAATTACTCTCAAAAGAAACGAAGAGCCACCCAGCCCACTTCCTCCCCCAAATGGGAAGTATAAAAACCTTATAATTAATTATCTTATTCCTATTTTCCAAATTCTGATCTCTTACTCTCAGAGAGAGTGGAGAGATCCTTGGGATGAAGATAACCCAGACAGCACACTTTAAAAAGTAGCAGACTCTTTCCCTTGAGTTATGCCATGTAAGCTTATAGGATGTGTCCAGCTCCAGCATGGGACTGGGTGGAGGGGGCGGAAGAGGGGTGATGAGGAAAAGAGGTGGAGAAGAAGGAATGAAAACAATTAGCTCGTGAAGTAGGATTATTTTAATAAGGGAGTCCTCCTTTCTGCAGTCACACCCAGAATTACATCTGTAACCTTGCTTCCTTTTCTTGCCCAAACCAGTTTACAATGAGTCGACATTCTCAGGAAAAATGTTTGTGTCATCTTCTACTTAAGTGGAGGGCACCACCTACTTTCTGTACTAGAAAACTCACCTGTCATCTTGTAGGGGGCACAGACCACTAGGGACTTAGCATGTCTTTGCCACAACGGACTTCGCTGTATCTTCCTTTGTAGGATGCCCCCCAAGTTACTCAGCCACAGATTCATACCAACAGGTGGGAAACGCCTACGGGCTTCTGAGATACTTTTTCACTGTGGTGAGTAGTTACCTAGACTGGACACAGCAAGTTTTTGTCTACGTTTCCGTGACATGCCATGAAATGGAAAGTTTCAAGCCAAAGTCAAATGATTCCAAATACAAATAAAATATGTCAGTTTGTCATGTATTTTAGCATGGAGTTATATTACTAACCCAGTTGTACCGTTAGCAAAGGAAGGCATTTCCCCTGGTACAAGAACCATGAAGGCCCAAGTCCTAGAGGCAGGAAAAGATGTTAGAAATCTACTATTGTGGTGACAGAAAGATCATGTGAGGCGGCAAACTTTTTTTAGAAAGATAAACTGGAAACAATGTTTAACATGACCAACAAAATTTGGAATCCACTAATTACCTAATACCATGAGGGCTTCTCATAGTAAGCCCATACCATAATGATTTATTATAAATGGGTGAGGAGACTTCCTGTCATTCTTCTAACAGGATCTGAAATGGCCCTGCTCATGTCAAATTCCATTTAACAATAAATCATGTTTATTAAAGTATCAAGTAGTTTTCCCCCCTCTTAAAAATGAAAAATACTAGTTTAGAGGAATACATTAACTATTTTCTTATTTCTACATGAAAATATAGACATATTTTCTGTGCCTCATAAACATAAATATTATATGTATAAATAAAAAATATATCTGATACACTGAAATTCAGGTAGTGCACAGTAAAATCTTACAAAGATAAATAATTTATTTTACATAATGGACTTTAAATGTTGACTGAGACCGGGTGCAGTGGCTCACGCCTGTAATCCTAGCATTCTGGGAGGCTGAGGTGGGTGGATTGCTCGAGCTCACAGGTTTGAGACCAGCCTGAGGAAGAGGGAGACCTTGTCTCTAAAAACAGATGGGCATTGTGGCGGG